ACCGTGGTTTGAGTCCTGGACCTGATGGCTTGGAAATCGTGCCAGATGCCTGTGCATGAGTGGCCAAGATCCCGGGAGAATGAAAGAGAAGGGATTGTAGTGTGGCCATCCCCACTGGGGCAGGGGTCAGGGGAATTTTTCATTTTCCTTCTCACTGTCTGTCTCTCAGGCAAGAGCGCATGTACCCTAAGGGAAAAGCCTCAAAAATAAAAAAGATATGTCTTTGGTGGTATCAGCAGATTGCATAATGGTTATGGCAACAGACTCCCACATAATCAACTATGGTTCAGAGTCTCAGACTTGGCATCTTAAAATGTACACTGGGTGCGTGTGCAAGCATGTGTGCCCAAAATCCCAAGAGAAGAAGGGACTGCAGTGTGGTCATCCACCCTGGGGAGTAATTTGTCACTTTCTGTCTCTCAAGTGAGTGCATATACCCTATAGCAAAAAATCTCTTAAAAAAAAAAAAAAAGATATGCCTTTGTTCCACCCAGACCAAAATGTTTCTGTATCTCTCTAGGCCTCCTCAAACTTTGCTGCATAATTGCCTTCTAAGTTACCCACCCTGAACAGTTCAGCCTCAAAATGGGAGCATTTTAAATGCAGGCCAAAGTCGTTGGGAAATAAGCCTCCCACCCTAAAGTACAATAGAACCACTGTCATCAGCCCTGCCTAGCTAACCATTTTCTGCAGTATAAGCAACTATAGCTGCACATCAATTTGTACCTCGGTGATGTTGTACAAATAAGGAAGCATGTAATGCCACCTTTACCTCTCTAATTGGAGAACAGGCCAGGCCAGATGGCTGAGGGGTGGAACCTTACAAAAACGCCAGACAACCAGAGTGAGATTTTCTGCTCTATCAGCTCAGGCTCTAATTTTGACTTCAAGAAGCTTATGCAGCAGAGGATTAAAGCACTGCTGCTGTCCTGACTTTAGCTAACAACAGAAGTGACCATTCAGGGGGACCAGCAGGTGGTGTGGTGGGTAAGGTGCTGGACACTCCCACATGGCTGACCACGGTTGGAGTCCCAGACCTGGTGGCCTGATTTCTCACTTTCCCTCTCCCACTCTCTCTGTGTACGCATCTCTCTCTGGTCAAATTAAAATAAATGACTGAGTTCCTTTAAAAAAAAAAAAAAAAGTGACAATTCAGACATTGGTTTTCCTTTTTAAAAGCTACGGACAAATTCTAGAGCTTATACATGGAATATTTATGGAAGATTAGAGAACTTAGAATAATAACTACCCTTCAATAAAAGGAACAAGTAGGTAAGTCAAGTTCTTTCTTTAAATTATTTTATTTAACCTTATTTATTACTATTGTTATTATTTTCCAGCTTATTTTATTTAATTTATTTTATTTTATTTTATCAGAGAGAGAGAATGAAATTAAGAAAGCAGACCACCATGTCTGGAACTCCAACCGCAGTCAGCCATGTGGGAATCCAGCACCTTTAACCACCATGCCACCTGCTGGCTCCGGTAAGTCAAGTTCTTAAACAGATGCAGACTCAAGATTTTTTCCAACCCTGACTCAGGTACAAAATGCCAGAAAGGTAGACAAATGGGGGCGGGGTGCAGCTGAACATTTAAAGACGTGGTCAACATATTAAAAAGTTACAAATGCGAGAGTAAATCTTGTCCAGTTCTAAGAATCTCTCTCTCTTCTTTTTTTTTTTTGGAGAGGTTTTTTTGGCTGTAGGACGTGTGTGCTCACGCTCACCAGAAAGACAGAGAGAGACAGAGAGCTAGAAAGCGAGAAATCACTCCCCATGCTGCAATCCCTTCTCCTCCATTCTCCTCTTGGGATCTTGGGCACGCACACACATGCACCTGGCGTGAGTTTTAAGCCACTGGGTCTGAGAATCGAACCGCAGTCGGTTACATGGGAGTTCAGCGACATAGCCATTATGCTAAGAATCTTATCCTCCTAGCGTTTACTTCCAGCAACCTGGATTGGAACAGTGTGCCAACTTCTGTTTTAAAGATTAAGCATTGAGGAGAAAGATAAAGGAGGGGAGAAGGAAGGGACGAGAACCTTGAAGGAGGCCTCAGTTAAAGCAGATTCCAAAGAGAACTTCTGACGAAAATGAGGTTTTAAAGACGAGTAATACATTTAAAGGGGGGAAGGGAGGATAATTAATTGTGAAATAATCTATCATGCCTTTTGGCTGGAACCACCACCTTCCTGTAATTAACCAAAATGCTGAACACAAAGGGAAAGGGAGGCACCCGATTTATGTTGTCTAGGCCTTTTAGAGTGGTTCCTTTGGCAACGTATATTCAAATATACAAGAAAGGTGATAGTGTAGACATCAAGGGAATGGGTACTGTTCAAAAAGGATTGTCCCACAAATGTTACCATGTCAAAACTGGAAGAGTCTACAATGTTACCCAGCCTGCTGCTGGCACTGTTGTGAACAAACAAGGGCAAGATTCTTGCCAAGAGAATTAATGTGCGTATTGAGCATAGTAAGTATTCTAAGAGCAGAGATAGCTTCCTAAAACGTGTGAAAGAAAATGACCAGAAGGATGAAGCCAAAGAGAAAGGTACCTCAAAGTGCCAGCCTGCTCCACCCAGAGAAGACACTTTGTGAGAACCAATGGAAAGAAGCCTGAGCTACGGGAACCTATTCCCTGTGAATTCATGGCATGATGGGTATTAAAAATAATCTATGGTCTATTAAAAAGAAGCTATCATGCTTTAAACCTACAAAAATACTCAAGCGTCTCTAAGCCTCAATATCCAAATGGTCCTACAACCAAGCACTAACAGGATTCAGTAAGTGCGTTAGGGGGTGGGGTGTCCCTCACAAGGCCAGCTGGTGTCACAGACAGTGCCGAGGGAGTGCCCGATGCTACCAGGCGAATGAGAGCTGAGCTCGGGCCGCGAACCTCGCCGGCCCCCAGGACTTGTGCTGACTGAGCACGCCGCCCGGCCAACAGAGACCAGACAACACTGGTTAGGACACAAGGCCCCTTCCGATTCGGCGAGACCCTTCTGAGCCACTCGGGGTTCTTCAGGAGAGAACTCGCCTTGACCCCATCGTAGACACGGAGGCCCGCTCTGCACTCTGGGAACAGTAGTTCTCGGAGGCCCCAGGCTCAAGAGGGGAGTAAGTGACCTACTTTCTCCGCACACTACACTCCCCAGCGTCCTTTGCGAAGCCTCAGCCGGCTGAACCACGCATGCCCGGTAAGGGGAGCTGGCCGGGGTTCTGAGGACCGAGGAAAAGTTTCCGACGCACATGCGCGCTGTGGCGAACGGCGCCCCCCCACCCCCGCCACTGCCTAATACATTTCGTATAAATTCTACCCACAAGGCCTCCTCCCCGTATTGTATCGCCCCACCGCTGCCATGTCGAAGCTTCGCACGAGGCTGAACTTTCTACCCGCTTCCCTCGACCGCCTCCACGGCTGAATTAGAGCCTTGCTTCTAAAGAGTATTTGCTGGGTGAAGGGTGGGCTGCAACGGATAAAGTCAGGCCCCCCACGCCCGCCCCCAACCTAGCCTCTTAATCTGAATTCCAGGGGCTGAGCGGTCTGGCTCGGGTTGCTGTAGGGAAGGTGGATTTAGAGAGAAATAAGTCCTTTTCACTTATGTCCCACGGGCTGGGCTCCAACTCTCACAGGCAGGAAAGGCAAGGCAGGAATTAAGCCTAGTTCTCCCTCCTGTCGTCTTGGCCAAAGAAATTCCCAGTTAAGCTTTCGGGAGGCGTCGGCCGACAATTAGAAGGCCAAACGCCAGCAGGACCCAAGTCTCACCCCACTTCTAATCCAAGTCTGAGTAACCAGACCCCGGCGAGGGAGAGGGGAAAAGGTTCCCGGGCAGGGAAGGAAACACTGTCCATCTGACACCTGAGCAACATCATCCAGTACTTAAAATTCTGAGCGAGTCTCCTCCCTCCCACCTCAAGGCCAGCTCCAGGACCAGACGTACCAGATCCTCGGCACAGCTCCCCGCGGGGTGTTAAACCTCCCTAATCCTCCTCCCACACAAGCCTCTTTTCCCCTGCACTTAGGAGAGGACTGGGGGCAGATGCTCAAGAAAGCAATGGGGTGTTTTTCCGCTGGGAAATCGGAGAGGAGGGACCCACTGAGTGGAAGGAAAGAGAAAAGGGCAGGTTGGACACGGTGCAGGCAGAGGCCCCTCCGCTGGTCCCCACCCTGGGACCGGCCCAGCGGGGTGCTGTTGCTCCGGGCTGAAAGGGCCTGCCAGCTGTCCCTCCTCTCTGCTGCCTCCTTCCCTTCCCCTCCCCAGATTCCTGGTCAAGGGCACAGTCCATCTTCTGGACAGGAGGGACAGGAGTTCAGGAGCAGGGCCCCTCCTCGGGCACCTCGCCTCCACGAGCCACAACCGGCTCACTGGTGTCGCTCTACCGGGACTTTTGACCCACCGACTTTTGCTTAAAACACTGAAAAGGATAACAAACTCAGGCCGACATGGTGAATTTTGGCTCAGCGACCCAAGGACAGTCTCCACTGACCGGTCTCCCTGCCAACAAGGGGGTGTCCACCCTCCATTCCTCAGGCCCCACAGGGCCAGAAATAAGCCCTATTAGTAATTACCACCCCCTTCCCCACACACGGGAAAAGCAGAAAAATCAAGGCCTGGATCCCTTTCCTTCCTCTCTTTTATTTAACGTTGGTGGGAGTTGGGGGGGGGGCAAGGAAAATCTAGCGAGTATCATTTATGGAGAACCAGGGGAGGCGACGAAGGGAGGACGTGTACCCCACCCACGAGGGGGCCACACTTGACGCGGGAGGGAAGGAGGATCTTGGGTACCCCAGGATCAGAGCCGGCGTGAGGGGGGAGGGAAGCACGGGGGGGCTCTAAAGGGACCATAGAAGGGAAAGGAAAACGCGGGCCAGGCGGAGAGGGGGGCGACAGCAACGTGGTGTCCAGCAAAGCCAAGAGCGGCAGTGGGGCGGTCGCGGAGGCGGCCGGGCCGGCTGGGTCTCAGGGTGCGCCCCCCGCCCGCACGCCCCTCACTCACTCGCTCGTGCTCCGCCGCGGCGGGG